TGTTGTTCACCTCTGAGCACTTCAAACATCCATTACTGAGCTACGATCTTGCTGCGCTGGTACTCAGGCAACTGGGTGTAATGTCTGTGCTTCCATCCTTCCCAGAGGAGGCAGCTGTGAAGGACTGCACAGGGTAGCACTTCAGCCAGGATGGGGAATCTGCAGCCAGGCCTAGAGCAGATGGCTGCGGGCTGGCTTGGGTGTGGGGCTCACTGGGGCAGAACTGGGTACAGCCACCCCACAGGTTGCTGCCTGTGGATTTTCTCATTACAGAGACCAGCTCTGCTGCCCTCTGCATCTCGCTGTGCCTGCGTGAGCTGGGTCAAGCAGAGCATCACTGCTCCTGTGTGCGCTCTACAAGCTGCTCACCCTGTCTTTAACAACCGCACAACTCAAACTGCAGCAAGACTGCACTGGTGCAGCTCCCCCACACCCTGCAGCCAGGACCCTGCAGCCAGGACCCTGCAGCCAGGACCTTGCAGCCAGGACCCTGCGGCCAGGACCCTGCAGCCAGGACCTTGCAGCCAGGACCCTGCAGCCAGGACCCTGCAGCCAGGACCCTGCAGCCAGGACCTTGCCGCCAGGACCCTGCAGCCAGGACCCTGCAGCCAGGACCCTGCACCACAGCAGGGCAGGGCCCTGGGGCAGTGTCACCGGCCCATGGCAGAGCTGCTGAGCTCAGGGCACACAAACAGCCTGAAGGGCTGTCCGCAGGGGCTGGGGATGCACAAGATGGTTCAGACACCTTGTCTGTTCCCCACTGGAAAACACCATCCCCATAAGCTTACACAGGGACAGCCCAGAGAGGGGAAGCACAACAGGGAGCAACCACGCCAGCTGTCTGCTACCAAAGGCACTCAGCAAGGAGCGCCCAGGCTGGCCCGAAGGACATTGCCCTTCCAGAAGGTTCACGTCAACAAAAGGGAATGCAGGAAATGCACATCTGCAGTCAGCAAATTCTCAAGTGTTTCTTGAGATTTCCCCTTGCGCTGCTGCTTTAGGTGGCTGCTGGGCACCAGTGTGACCCAAACTGCAGCACCACAGCAGCGGATGGGCTGCCCTGTGCTCTGCATGGCAGGAACTGTCTGTGGCTGAACACCGTGCACTGAGGGACACTGCTGGACATGCAGCACCCACTCCCCTGTTGGGAATGCTTTTGAGGAGGGACCCTTCCTATTCCTGCATGAAGGAAGACCGGGGAGGTGCAGAGAATACCCATTGGAAAGCAAGCCACTTCACCTGGGGACAGGAGAAGGACAAGCAGGTAAGTGGGTTGGAAAGAGGCAGATTTGACAGCTTCAACAATAGGTTAAGGGGAACCTGTAAGTGGCCCAGAACAGACCTGAACTTCAGCAAAAGAAGAGCCTTCCATCACTTTATGTCTCTGCAAGATCTGGCAGCTGCAGTGTGAAGTCTCACAGAAAACACCCTTTGAACGGTGATGGCAATGAACCATCAAGGCAGCTTCCCAGTTTCAGCTTCTAAATCGATCAATGCACTTTCTGAGAGGGGAATGAATGCATTCCTGGGACTGAGCAGCACACAAGGGCACCTCCCAATGACTCTGCTGGTGTGGGAGAAAGATCCAGCTCCAGCATCTGCCATGAAGCAACATTCCCCAGCAAACATCCCATTTCCCCAAGGTTCCTGAGTGCACCAAGGCGGGTTGGACTGCGAGAGGACCCCCATGCCCTGCTCCCTTTGGCAGAAACCCACCCTGCAGCCCCCAACCCCAACCTTGGCCACTGCTGTGGTTGGTGGTGCCACAGCACACACGGAACAGTTATCTCCTTTGCAGAGATCTACCTGGGTGAACATCTACATGGTGATCCCATCACCTCCCCCCCCACCCCACTGTGGCCACTCAAGGATCCTGCAAACATTTCACCCTAAAAAGGTACTTCCATGATAAATAGATTTTCCACTTCCCAATCCATAGAAACTCCTGCTTGGCCCCAGGAGTCCCTGTACAGCATCTGCCTGCACATGCCCTGCCCACCCTCGGCTGTGACCTGGCACAGGTCACACATACGCTGCTCATCCCAGCACGTGTCTTGCCAGCAGCAGCTCTGGGGAAGCACCATCCCAGTGCATTCTGCTCAGAAAAGTGACTGAAGCTCTACCATCAAAATCTCCTTGCATCCGTGGCTGCACCTCCAGAGGGGTGATGCTGGTGCTCTGCTTTCCCAGAGACAGCCGAGTGCTGCTGGGTGATGCTGTGCATTGGGACCTCGGCTCTTCCATGGCCCGGGTCACTACAACCCACCAATGCCATCACTTGCCAAACTGTGGGATGTCCCTCAGCACTTTCTGCTTAACTACTGGCAAATTTCTGTTGAACACATTGGGAAGCAGGCTCAACTGTTCCCAGCCCTGCTCCTGTACTGGGTGCAGGTCACCAGAAGCACCAGTCTGTTCTCTGGCTGCTGCTCCCCATACCCAGGTGCCAGAAGGGAGCAGGGAGCTCTGTGCAGGACTCATCACTCCTGCCCTGGCTTGGCCCTACTACAGCTGCCCCTGCCAGGCCCTGTGCTACCGGGATAGGAATGCCTGTCCTTCCTCAGTGTCCAGGAACTTCCTCCCCCCGGAGGAGCTCTACTAGCAGCATGTGTCCTTCTCTTTCCCAAGTCAGCTTTCTATGTCAATGATTCTTGTTTGACATTCTTTTTACTATCAACTTCCCCATCCCTGCACTTTTTACTTATTTTGCATTTATTTGCGTGGTGTTTTTGGTTCCTCCCAGGACAGGCAGTAGCTTCAGCAGTGCACTGTGCTGCCAGGGAAAGCAGAGATGCTTTTGCCCAGTAGGTGCCAGGCCTGGCTCCAGAGCTGCTGTAGAAACAGGAATTGGGCACTGGGAAGCAGGAGGACGGGGCTGAACCATACAGAGAGCCCAGGCTTTTGCTGGCCAGCCCTGGGCATGGCCCAAGCAGCTCTGCACTGCGGGCAGAGGGGGCAGCAGGGGCTCACAGGAGGATGCTGCTCCCGCACACCCAGGGCAGAGAAAAACCCATTGCAGGGAGCTGGGGGCAGAGCCGCGGATCCCCATGGCGGGGCGATGCGGGTCGGCTGTGCGGTGCTGGCTGCAGGGTGCAGCAGTGCTCTGGGAAGAGTCGGGGGTGCTGGTCCTGTACCCCAGGGCAGAGACCTGGTCCTGTGCTGCCTCCCTGCAAGCCCTTCCCGGCCCCGGTTCGCCCCAGGTGACCTGGCCAGCCCCTGCAATGCCCGGGTGGGGCCCCGGAGAGACCGGACCTACCTTCCACCACGCCGCAGAGGAAGCGCGGCCGCCCCGCCATAAGCGGGCGGGAGGTGCGGGGGGATGCGGGGAGGGATGTACGGGGAGATGCACGGGGAGATGGAGGGATGCGCGGAGGAACAGAGGGATGCTCGGAGGGATGCGGTTAGAAGTGGAGGGATGCGCGGAGGAAAAGAGGGATGCACTGAGGGACAGAGGGATGCGCGGAGAGAAGGGCGGAGGGAGGGATGGGGGTGCGCGGAGGGACAGCCCCGCCGCCTGCCCTCCCCCGGCGGAGACTCGCCCGCCGCAGCGCAAGGGGCGGCCCCGGCGGAGCGGAGCGGGGCGGGGCGGGGCGGGGGGGGGTCCCGCGTCCCCCGGGCAAAACGGCCCCGCACTGGCCCCGGCGGTTCAGCCCGATCCGGAGATCGCCTCGGTGGGAGATGCCAGAGCCACCCCCCCCGGTGGGTGCCTGGTCCCGAGCCCAGCCCGGTGCTGCACGGGAGGGTTGCAGCCACCACCGCCCACTGGCACCGGGGCCCAGCCCAATGTCCCCACCACCCCGACACCTTGTCCCCCATGTCCTCAGATGCCGATTTGTTCCCAGTACCGGCCGAGGGCATTTATTTCTTCTGCCTCTGCAGCTTCCCAAGACCGAAGACCATGTCCTGGATCTGTTCCACATTGCTCTGAGCTGTTGACGCATCTGGCTCATGATGTCTCTGTCCCACAGGTTGTGGCTTGCAGAAGTGCTGCCACGTCATTAGTTCCCTGTCCTGCAGCCGCAGACCCCTGTGCAGTACCTGCCTACGCGCAGGCCTGTGTTTGACGTCACTGCATCGCTCTGCTCCTTTCCTGACCACTTTTCCTGTTTGTCAGTTTTGATGTCAGATGGAGCCGTGCTCTGCAGCACCCCCGAAGCCTTCCCCACCCCAGAGGGTGCCTGGCTGGGGTGATGCGCAGGAGGGTCCTTCATGGAGTGGGGCAGGACAGGTTTTAATCCCTTATCTCCCAGGTGACCTGCCAGGGTGTTGCACTGCTCAGATCGTCATTTTAGATGTCTACAAAGACCTCTCTCTGCAGCCGTTCATTCCCTGCAGCACTTGTGTAACTACCAGTACCCGGGGCAAGGACCGTGCTGTGCCGGGGTGCTGGACACCCACCTCCCAGGGTGCCCTGTGGGCCCTGGTCACAGGCTGCGGCTCAGTGTCCGCACTGAGCTTGACCTAACTCAGCTGCCGCCAGAGATGGCAAAGCTGCCGGGTAGGAAGGCCCTGACGCCTGGCGGGGGTGGCAGGGGTAGGGCCAAGGCTCCATCTCCTCCCCGGGCTCTCTGAGCGTGGGACACGTCCTCAAACAGGTCTGGAGCCGACACCTCTCCCGTGGGATGAGGACACGGCAGAGCGGAGCCGGCAGCAGCAGGAGCCAGCTCCCTCCTCGCCCCTGACAGGGCCGGTCGGCCGCGGGCTGTTGCTGCCACGGCTCCGTCCCAGTGGAGGTGGCGCCGGGTGGGACGATCCCGCTCCCGGCCTCATGCCCAGGCGGTGCCGTACAGGGCCGGGTAGCGGGGCTCCGGTAGGGCCAGCCCCGCGCCGAGAGCCAGGGCCGCAGGTGCCGGGGCCACGGGAACCGCCCGGGCTCCCGGAGGTCCGTGCCGGGACCCCGCTCGCTACCGGCGGAGAGGTCCCAGCGCACGGCGCGCAGCGCACGTGCCCGGCTCGCAGTACGTACGCACGCACGCACGCACGCACGCACTCCCCCCGCCACGTGCGTCCGCAGCGCGTCCCCGCCCCGGCCCGGCGCCGTTGGCGGCGGGCGGAAGCACGGGCAGCGGCGAGGAGCGGGATGGACCCGCCGGCCAAGGAGGGGCCGCTGCTGGTGCAGCACAGCCACAAGTTCGGCACCAAGGTGGGGCCCCGCCACACGTCCCTTCCCCTCCCCTCCGTCCCCGAGGGTCGGGCTGGTGGGGGGGCGGCACCGGGGTGGGGGTCAGGCCGGGGCCGGGCGAGGTCTCTGCCCCCTTGCCTGTGGCCCCCCCCGCCGGGCCGAGAGCACTGCCTGGCGACGGGGGAAGCGGGGCCGGGGCTCTGTGGGCCACCCGCCCGCCTGGGCCGAGGGGTCCTGCGGCTGCCCCCTCCCCGCCGAGTCTCGGCTCCCCCCGGCTCTGTCTGGGTGCGGTCGGGGCCGATCGCCGCCGCCGCGGGGCCGCTCCCGGTGAGCTGCCGGCCCGGCCGAACATCCCGGGCGCCCTCGCTGGTGCCCGGCCCGGGCCCGGTGTGACCCCGCTGCCTTGCAGAAGTGGAAGCGGAGCTGGTTCGTGCTGTACCCGGCCAGCCAACACGGCGTCGCCCGCCTGGAGTTCTTCGAGTGCAAGGATCCGGTGCCACCGGAGCGGCTGGGGAGCGGGCGGCTGGACAAGACGGTGGTGCGGCTGGCGGACTGCACCAGCGTGGGGCCCGTGCCCGAGAGCGGCCCCCGCGCCGGCACCGCCGTGTTCCGCCTGGAAACCAGCGACAGGAGCTACCTCTTCGCGGCTGACAAGCAGCAGAGCGAGGAGTGGGTGGCGAAGCTGTGCGAGATCGCCTTCCCGGTGAGCCTGGGGCGAGAGAGGGGCCCTCGGCCAAGACGGCCCCGGGGGGGACAGCGGGCCCCGGGCGGAGGGGTGACCCCTTCCTACCCATCGGGAGGGGTTGGCACTGAAGGGAGAGACGCCCCAGAGCATCCACGGGTGGTCGCAGAGGTCAGAGCACTGTCGCTGAGGCTCTGGTCCCCTCCCCATAGCTCCCACCACGCCAGGAGGCAGCAGCTTACAGCACTTCTCAGCACCGCCAGTAACTCTTGCTTGCAGCACCATTCCAGGTGGGGCTTTTCCCTGTCTTGGAGCCTGTCCTCACCCCCATTCACCCCCCCCCCCCCCCCAGGGACCGGCTGGTGATGGCTGAGGAGCATCATTTCCTCTTGTCTCACCCACTGCTGCCTTTCCTGCCGCAGCACTGACGGAAGCAGAGCCCCAAGAGCATTGCTGGTGCCCAGCTCTGGGACCTGCCTGGCTCCGGCTGTCAGTGGCCAGTGGCCCCCCCTCGCCCAGCCCTGGGGCTTGCTCTCTCCTGCTGCTGGAACCCCCACCCAGTGCCTGTGCCCCAGCTGCAGCTCTGCAGCCTTCCCCTGCAGGCAGGGTCAGCAGCGTGGCAGCGAGGCCACAGAGCTCTGGAGTTCGGGATTTCGTGTTCTTTGGGAGATGAAGGAGAGTGCAGCCAAATGGAGCCCTGAAGGGAGCTGGGGGATCAGGCGGCCCTCGAGACCCCAGGCTGGACCCTGCTGCGTTCCGTGCTTTACCTGAGCAGGAGCTGCTGCTGTTGGCTCTAAGGACACTGGGTTTTAGCAGGCCCCATTCTGTTTAGGAGCCAAACAAGAGGGCCCAATGCCTCGCTTTATGCCTTGGGTCTTGTTAAGAAGCTCATGTGTCAGGTTTTAAAGTGAAACTGTGACAGCCTGGCTTCTGCAAGACTTACACTGCTGCAAGCTCATCCCACGTGCCCTTGAGAAACAGCTTCCAGCTCCTGCCCAAGTGCAGACCCTTGGGAGACAGTGCAGGATCTGCTGCAGCAGCTCTTGCAGCGCATCTGTGAGCCTTTGGTTTGTGGGGGCCTTCCCTGGAAGAGGATCTTTGCTACCTGGGGGTAGCACTGAGGGTGCATCCCCCCCACAGCCCGTAGGGGACCCTGCTGCTGGGACAGGGCTGCTGACAGGCTGTGTGCAATGCACTTTCAGTTCTGCATGTGTTAAAATAGAAGCACTTGCTTCCCTTCTGCGGGCTGGGCACCAACACTGGCACCACCTCCCTGCCTGTGCAGAGGCAGGACACAGACCCTGGTGTTACTGGCTCATTTCCTCAGCTCCCTGCCTTGTGTCACTGGGAAAGCATTCCTGGTGGTGCCGGGAGCCCCGTTCATGGGAGCTGGGGGTGGGCACCCTCTGGTCTCTCACTGACCATGGGCAGGGAAGGGCTTGGTGTGGCTGCAGAGTGGCCGAGCTGTGTGGGGCTGGGCTGGCCCCTTGGAGAGGGCAGGGGGGCTGGCGGGGGGCAGTGTGGGATGGGGGAGCTGGGGCTGATCCGCTCTCCCTTGCCAGGGGAATGGCCCCAGCCATGCTGGCGTGGCGGCCCGGCGCGGCAGAGAGGGCGGCGGGGAGGCCCCAGCCCTGGAGATGGCCGTGAACTCCATCTACTACTCGAGAGATGAAGGTGGGACCCGGCAGTGCCCCGGCTTGGGGCTGCTTCCTGCGGGGCCTCTCCTGCCGCTGCCCTGGCACCAGGGCTCCGCTGGGCCCGCGAGGCCTTGCCTGGGGACGTGGTTTCCTGTGCCCTGCCCCGAGCATCCCTGTCCCCGCAGTGAACAGCTTCTGGGTGACGGTGCAGAGGACCGAGGCTGCGGAGCGATGCGAGCTGCGCGGTGCCTATGTGCTCAAGGCCGAGCGTGACAGCCTCGTCCTGAAGGAGCCACGCACAAATGAGATCCTCTACGTCTGGCCCTACCGTCTGCTCCGGAGATACGGGCGGGACAAGGTGAGGGGCCGGGGATGCCGTGTGCTGTTCCCCCATGGGTTTTCCCATGGCCGGGACAAGGTGAGGGGCCGGGGATGCCGTGTGCTGTTCCCCCATGGGTTTTCCCATGGCCGGGACAAGGTGAGGGGCCGGGGATGCCGTGTGCTGTTCCCCCATGGGTTTTCCCATGGCCGGGACAAGGTGAGGGGCCGGGGATGCCATGTGCTGTTCCCCCATGGGTTTTCCCATGGTCGGGACAAGGTGAGGGGCCGGGGATGCCGTGTGCTGTTCCCCCATGCGTTTTCCCATGGCCGGGACAAGGTGAGGGGCTGGGGATGCCGTGTGCTGTTCCCCCATGCGTTTTCCCATGGCAGGGGTAAGGAGCTGATGTGCCCAAGCAGCTGTGCCAGCTGGGAAGCGGGCTCTGCTGAATGCCAGGACCGCTGCAGCCCTTAGCAGCCAGAGCAGGGCCCTCAGGGATGCCTGTGAGTCCGTCAGTCCTCAGCTCCCACCCGTGTCACCGTGCAGAGGCGCAGGCTGGCAGGATGTGCCCCACAGAGGGCATTGCTGTGCAGAGCCCTCTCTTACGTGGTCCTTGACCCGCTCCCGCTGGGGCCATTGCAGCCCCTGCAGCTGGCTTGTCCCCACTTTTCATCCCAGCACTCCCCAGCCCGTGCTGGGGACGGGCAAGTTCTGTGCAGCGCACAAGCTCCCCCCAGCCTCCAGGGACCTCTCAGGTTTGCTCCATCCCTTCTGTAGAATGGTGCTCGGAGCAGGAGGGACTCTTTGGGACACCACTTCCTCTAGATTGGCTCACCTTATGGGGCATACTGCTCTTAGCCTGGCTGAGAGCTCCATCCCTTCTGTAGAATGGTGCTCGGAGCAGGAGGGACTCTTTGGGACACCAGTTCCTCTACATTGGCTCACCTTATGGGGCATACTGCTCTTAGCCTGGCTGAGAGCTCCATCCCTTCTGTAGAATGGTGGTCGGAGCAGGAGGGACTCTTTGGGACACCAGTTCCTCTACATTGGCTCACCTTATGGGGCATACTGCTCTTAGCCTGGCTGAGAGCTCCATCCCTTCTGTAGAATGGTGCTCGGAGCAGGAGGGACTCTTTGGGACACCAGTTCCTCTAGATTGGCTCACCTTATGGGGCATACTGCTCTTAGCCTGGCTGAGAGCTCCATCCCTTCTGTAGAATGGTGGTTGGAGCAGGAGGGACTCTTTGGGACACCAGTTCCTCTACATTGGCTCACCTTATGGGGCATACTGCTCTTAGCCTGGCTGAGAGCTCCATCCCTTCTGTAGAATAGTGGTCGGAGCAGGAGGGACTCTTTGGGACACCACTTCCTCTAGATTGGCTCACCTTATGGGGCATATTGCTCTTAGCCTGGCTGACCTGTGTAGGTCTGTCCCTTCTCCAGTGTCCCCCAGCAGTAGGTCCCCGATCCGTCCTGCTGCTCCCCTGAGCACAAGGGGTGCCTGCCGCGCTGCATTGGGAGGAAGTGCTCTCCCAGGGCTGTTTCTAGAAGCGCTGCTGCCAGCTGCAGTCTGCTAAGGGTGCCTCCTGCAGCACCTTCCCAAAACAGAAGTGGAAGCAGCCGTGCTGCTCAGCTGCAGGGTCCGTGCCAGGGCAGGACAGGAGCTGCATAGTGCGAGGAGCAGGCAGCTGCACCCACAGGCCCCAAGCAGTGGTGGCTTGGCACGTCTTGTGTTTGGCAGCATTGACCCCCAAAAGGAAGTCTGGCCCCAGGGGCTTTTGTAGCAACCCCAGGGGCTGCTGCTGCGTGTGAGAATGCACCCACGGGGCAGAAATCCCACCTGGATTCAGGGACTGAGGTGCAGAAGGAAGTGAGCATCTGCTGGTGGGAACCTGAGCGTGAGCTCAGGCCTGAGGAACACAGCCTTGTTGCAAGACTTCTCCTTAGAGTACTTCATACCATTAACAGAGTAGTGCTGCTAAGGCAGATGCACTGCTTACTGCTGGTAGCCAAGCTGCTGCTTCTGGCCGTTCTCTTGTGGAAAGCCATGTTCCACGTCTTGTATCTCGTGCCTGTGGATCACTTCCCTTGTGCCTGCCTAGAGCTGACTTTCCAGGCTGCCCATAATAGTTCCCTGTGCTGGACCGTCACTCGTCATCTCGCACCGCTCTGTTCTCGGTGCTACCTGCCTGCTATTTCCTAGACTGACGCTGCTGGAGCTGCTCAGGTGAGGCAGCAGAGCTCCAGCAGGACCTGCAGCTCCGGCCCTGGGGCATCTTGCACTGATGTCCCCTCAGGTATGCACGCAGCTCCAGCTGCACAGGTTGCTCTGGGCTGCTGGGCAGCACTGCACAGTGCTGAGCACAGCTGCTGGCCACAGCCCCCCCCCAGGGAGCTGCTCACTGAGCTGCAGCCTCAGTGCAGGGAGCAGAAGGAGCTGCGTGTCCCATGGGGTCTCTTCCGTGGGATGTGCAGGATGAGCACAGCAGGATGTGCTGCCCACAGGATGTGCTGCGTCAGCAGGTGCTGGGCAGGATGTGACCCTTCCGCTTCCCCTGCAGGTGATGTTCTCCTTCGAAGCTGGCAGGCGCTGCAGCTCCGGCCCAGGGAACTTCACCTTCGAGACCAAGCAGGGCAACGAGATCTTCCGGCTGGTGGAAGCCTGCATCAGGGAGCAGAAAGCACAGGTGGAGGAGAACCGTCAGAGCTGTGGCTCGCTGGACTCGGACAGCCCCAGCGTGGTGCTCATCCGACAGGCCCTGGCCGACTCTCTGAGCCTGGAGCTGCCCACGGAGGGAGATGATGCCCCAGCCCCCAAGGGAGGACTGGCCCCCAGGCCCAGTGTGGCGGCAGAGGAGAGAGACGCAGCGTCCCTGCTGAAGGCACGGACCCTGCCAGAGCTCCCTGTGGTACAGGCCAAGCCTGCCGTCCCCAGCACCCCCCCCCGTTCCCCGCTGCCGAAGGTGCCCCGTGCCCTGCTGCCGGCCGAGGACCCCTCCGCGGTGTACTCGGAGCCGCTGGACTCGGTGAAGGGCTCCCGCCCGCGCCCGGACCCGCTGTACTCGGACCCCATCGACAGCAAAGCCGCGGACGAGGGGAAGCAGCGGCCGCTCTGCCCAGGCCTCTACGAGCAGGTGTGGGCTGGGCTCCATGGGCAGGGCCCCGCGGTGCCCGCACGGGGGGAGCACATCTACGACGAGCCCGAGGGCCGCGCTCCCCGCGCGCTGCCCCCGCCCGCCTGCATCTACGACGAGGCGCGGCCCACGGGCGAGGCCTGGCGCACCCAGGGCCACGACGGCCGGGCCGGCTACGAGTACCCCTACAGCCCCAGCACCGACGACTACTCGGTACCGGCCTTCCAGGCCAAGGCCAAGGGTCCCAAGCCGCTGCCTGCCCCCAAGCCCCAGGCAGCCTTTATCCCTAAAGGCACGGAGAAGAGCGGGGAGGCGGGCAGGCAGCGGGGCAGTGCTGCTTCCGAGAAGGCAGTTGTGAAACCCAGCCTCAACAGCAGCAACAACAACAACGTGGAGGTGCTCTACAGCCAGGTGCTGAAGCCCCAGCACGCGCGCAAGCAGGAGCAGTCTGTGGATGAGTGCAGCTTGTCGCCCGTCTACGAGGACTTAGGAGTGATATAGCAGCTGCTGCACTGTGCTGGACTAGGAGGGACTGGGGGGCCCGTCCGAGAGCAGTGGTGGCCCTGGGGGTGGCCTGGGGCCAGGGGCTGCTCTGGCTGAGGCTCCCCTGTGCTCAGGGGCTGCGTTTCCCTGGAAGCCCTTTCCACAGCAGGAGAGCCATGGCTGGCGCTGCTGTGCTCTGGAGCTGGCTCCGTCCCCCTGCGCCTGCTGCTCTGGCTCTGCGCTGGCTCCCTGTCCGGGTGCGGGGCCGGGATGCCCACTGCGGTGCGTGAGAGACGTTCCAAAAGTATTTTTATACAGAATTATTTTAATATTAAAGGTTGGATGTCTTGGAATGAAGCGTTTGCCTGTGGCATGTCGGGGCTGTCGGGTACCCAAGGTAGCATCTGGGGACACAGCTGAGCAGTGTTCACATGGTATCGAGTTCGTGTTGGTGCCTGAGCTACTGAGCTGAGAGGAAACCATGGAGGAAAGTGTGTGCTGGGTCCAGCTGTGGTTAGGATGCGCAGATGCCGGGGCGTTAAGGAACAGAGTCAGGTTCACAGATACCTTTACGGGCTGATGGGAGCAGAAAATGTGATGGCCTCCAAGCATAGGCCTGGGCAGTGCCAGGCTCCAGCTCTTCAGTCCCATTGACTTTAATGGCAAAACCAGTGATCACAGCTGTGTGTCTTGAGGCCAGGGGTTTGGCTGGGATTGCTGTGCCCAGCCTTGGCAGAAACCTATGCAGGGGGAAACCAGGTTGTACTTCTGGTGCTGGTAGTGGTTCTGAGAGGTTGTGTGTCCCTTCCGTGGGGCCCACAGACACCCTGGCACTGGTTTTCTATGAGTCTGGGCTGCTGCTGCCTTGTGCAGGTTTACCAGCCTGTGGATAGAGATGGCAGCAGAACACCGTGCAGACAGGCATCAGCACTACAGTGCACCTCTGCAGAGGACTGAGCATGACTTCTGCAGCCCCTGCTCAGACCCAAGGAGCCACACACCACTGGGAAGTCTGGAGCATCGTGTTCAGGTCCCCTGACTGGTGAGATGGTGGCAAGGTGGGGAGCTCTGACTGGGCACTTGCCTGATGCCCATGTTGCGAGGGGGGGCCTCAGTCCTGTAACAGAACAGCACAGGAGCAATCTGCGGCTGTTCTGTGCAGGTCCTGTTCCCTGCTGGGCTTTTGCAGCAGGAGAAGGGAAAAAGCCTAAGGGGCTTTGGGAATCAGAGGGAGGCTGAGGCAGCTCCTGCCTGGGACGAGAGGTGTGAGCAGCAGCATCTGAGCCTGCCTGAGCAGCAGCATCTGAGCCTGCCTGAGCAGCAGCATCTGAGCCTGCCTGAGCAGCAGCATCTGAGCCTGCCTGAGCAGCAGCATCTGCTGCTGGGGGTTGGCTGCTGGGCAGCCCCGTGCTGCTGCTCCCATCTATGGCAGGTCCATGTGCTCATCCCAAGAGCAGTTCTGCCTGCTCCAGAGAAGAGCTCTGGGCATTGCGTAGCGTGGGCCCGGCTGGCTGCCCCTAATCCTTGCTGTTGACTCCAGTGTGAGGCTCTAAGAGCTCAGTGATGACGCCCACCCCTGGGAGCAGAGCCCCGGGGTCTCTCCTGCTCTGCAGTCCCTGTATCTCAGTGCTCCAGGTCTGCTCTGTCCCGTGGAGCTGCAGGTGTCCAACGTGCGGAGCGGCTGATGCAGCTTTCACGGGCAGTACAGCTCGGTGCTGAGGTTGCTGTGTGCAAACTGCAGGCACCAGGTGGGTGTTACAGGGGATAACTTTATTTTGAAACAGCTTGTCAGAACAGAGTAGAACACAAAGGGCAGCTGGTGCTGTGCATCCAGGAAGCCCAGTGAGACCAGTGCGCTGCCCTCAGCTCCTGCCCTGCCAGGGGTAGCTGACCTACGGCTGCACTGAAAACCAGGCTAGGAGTTGTGCAAGCACCGGCCAGAAGCTGTGGAAAGCTCCAGACCAACTCTCCCCATGTTCTGAACACTGCCAAAGTTGTTCCAACTGTGTCTGTGGAACAGCTCCATGGGCACAGATGGGCTAGAGGGAGGAGAGCATCCAAGCAGCCACTGCTGGGTGCTGTGCTGCAGCTGCAGGGAGCAGTCACTGTGTAGGAGCCAGCTTGGCACTTGCTACAAACCCCTCCATGAGCTGGGGCAGTGAGACCAGTTATGGAAGCAAGGAAATCGGCATCACCATGGGTGGTGCTCTCAGGAGGGCAGAGCTCTGAGCTTTAAGATGAAATTCAAAAGCTCCGGTTTATGCCTGTTCAAACACCCTGATCCTCCTGCAGGATGAGGGCAGCTTGATGTTTCTGCCTATTTATCTGTTTGACTTCCTCACCGCCCTGAGGTGGCTTTTCTGCACCTCCTGACAGCAATCTGTGGTTTGTGGCCTGTCCCAGCCTAGTCTCAGAAACCCGAATTTGAGGCATGTTGGTGATGTGTGCTGACAGAAATGGGAAATGGGGGGCATTGGAGGGTAGCTCCATCTCTGGACAGAGGGCCCCGGAGCAGCTTTCTGCTGACTACTTGGTGACTAACAAAACTGTAACAAGAAGGAGGAACGAACAATGGGAAGTGCTGGTCTGCCCAAGGCCGAGCTTCGAGCCCTGGCTGCCCGGCTGTGGCTGCTGGGAGCAGCTCCTGGCTCACTGCAGGAACTCCTCGTACTCTTTGGGGAGCAGGGAGCGCTCGCAGGAATCCCTCCTGGCTGCTGCTGGCCTGAACGCTGGGGCAGGAGAAGGAGCCATCAGAAGCGGTGCCACCGTGGCTTTGGCTCTGCTCTGATGCTGCAACACAAGGACAGAACAGGAATGCACACCACAAGGGCAGAACGGACACTAGGTAGGCTAGTCAAAGGCAAAGGACATACCTGCTTGGGCTGATGCCGCTCTGGTCGCTGGTCCCTCGGCTGGGCCTGCTGCCTGTGCAGAGGTCTGTACAACATACTCTTCAGGTATTTGTAGAGGTTGCTTTTTAGGTGCAAGGGGTTATAAGCAACTTCTACTTCCAGGCTGTTCAGGGCACTCTGCTCAGACAGAAGAAAGAGCCTAGTGAGATGTGACAGGTAGGGGCTGCAGGGTTTGCTTTGGGGGGTTGTTGGTTTTAGGGTCAGGGACTGTTCTTGCAGGAAGAAGTGTTACAGATGCTCCACGCCACCTGCAGTGATGAGAGAAGGGATCTTTGGCTGTGCTGCTACCCACAAGGACCACTCTTAGATGTGTATAGAACATGAGGCATGTTCAAACAGCTCTTAGTGGGTTTAAGCATTCCCTTGCAGGATGCAGTCCTATCCCCCCCTGTACCCAGGATCAGCCAACAAGCTGGAGCACCCTTTCTGGTCACCATCCCCCTTAATTCTGTGCTTCATAATGCTGCTTCCCCCTCCCCACAACAGACATACAACATTGCTCAAAGGACATGTATTTGCTTCCATGAAGAAAGCTGTAGGACGTATCAGCTGCTGGGGAGAAGTTCTGGAGGCTCCATTGTATTCCAGCTGTCACTAGATGTTCTCCCAGCTGTTTCCTCCTCTACTTATCTGCTAAGACCTACAGTGAGGGCTCTGCCCCTCCTAGCATCACCTGAAGCAGAGGCAGACAACTCAAGATGCACAACAGGAAGTGCACAAGCCTGAATCTATTTGAAGAGACATTTTATGTATTCATTTATCCTATGCCTAAAGCACCTCTCTCTGCAGACTGAGAGCCGTGTTCCCCAGCAATGAGGGAGAAAGATTCATCTTCCAGAGCAGCTGCATGTCCTGTGCATAAATGCTGATCATTGCTCTCATCCCTGCTGGTACAACTGGGATCCTTTCCACGTATGTTTATACAGGGCTGTCGGTGACTTACCTCCACCGGGCCATGCACTCTCTCAGGGTGTTCAGGAAGGAGGGCTGGGAAGGTTGATGGCATCAAGAGCTCTCTGACGGCGATTGCTTTGACAAGTAGAGAGGCAGAGTCAGAAGGGACAATGATGTAGTAGGAATGCACCACAGTGTTCCAGTTTGGACCAGTGTTCTGTGGCTCACGTCTGGCCAAAAGCATCCACTTCCTTTTCTAAAAGGCAAAAGCCAAACCTGATGTGAATAATGGATAATAGCCACTTCCTCAGCACTTTCACTATAGGGGCTGCTGGGTTCAGGGGCAGCTATGTTCATACACAGCAGAGTATTATTGTGCATTCTGGGTCAGGACAGATTGGTGGCTGTTTCTAATTGAACGTAAGACAGTTCTTAAAAAAAAATCCAGTTTTGCTTTACAACTTCTCAGTAATGGAAAGTAACAGAATCCCAGCCTGGTTTGGGCTGGAAGGGACCTTAAAGCTCATCCAGTTCCAACCCCCTGCCACAGGCACGGATGCCTTCCACTAGAGCAGGTTTCTCTAAGCCTTGTCCAACCTGGCCGTGAAAGTCCTCCACATCCCAAGCCTTGGCTGATTAAAGATGCACGTCTAACCCCAACCATGACTTCTGCATTCCACACTTCCAAATACGGGATTTCTGATGGGATTGAGTCTCTCTAAGGTTTGATGTGCTGTAGCATCTTTCCAGTGGATGCATTGGCTGGAAGGATTTACAAGCCCAACCCTGGCCCATGAGATAAAGCTGCAGCTTTGAAACATTTTCTGGTGCAGGTGAGAGAAATCTTACTAGATGTGCACCAACTGTTCCTTTCTATGGCAGTTCCGCTCCATGAGAAGGCAATTTTCACACACTCACCAGAAGACTATGACATAAAGCATGGAAGCTGTGCTGGTTTATCTCCAGTTCATCCCAGTCTAGCTGCCAGCAGCTTGTGGGCTTGATGATGAAGGGCAGGCCATACAGTACAGACTCACAGACTCCTTCAGATTTCAGAGCCCTGCAATATACAGCTCATGTTAGTGAAGCACAACCAACATGAAACCAGCAAGAAGACTCTACCAGCTGACCAGCTCAAGTCTCTATGGCAGTATCAGCTGCAGTGCTGCTACAGGCACTTAATGGCTGTACTGCTGTGGCCTGACACCATGAAACCCTGCTGAAAAATCCAGCTGCAGTGACATAAGGCTTTCTTGCTGATTTCCAGATTCCCTTATATCTGTGTTGACAGAAGTATGCCAAGGAGCAAATCCAGTCTTTGTGCATTTTGTATATAAATTCACCCAGGCACTACATATCTTCCCAGTGATCTTTACTGGATCATGGTTATCCTTCACTTAAACTGGCATGTGTTTTACTGCTCAGAGAGCCAACATCCCACCACAAACACCACTGCATGCTTTACAGTGCTTGACACTGCCTGTCCACAGCACATTTCTGCTTCCTGACAGGGCCTTATTAAGTAGCTGCACTGGTTTGGCTGTGGGCCATTCATGCAGAGTTCCTGAGAACTCTACAGCTACTGACAGGGTGGGAATCATTGTAAGACAACTGTATAGCTCAGAAATCACACTAAATGTTTCCTATAAATAAACCTCAGCAAAGACACTAGAGAGCATCACTCCTCTTGTTAGGATCTCTGCTCACCAGCCACAGGCTGCTGACAGGAAAGGGAATAAATGCTCATGTGAAGTCATAGAGCACTGTGAGGCTTTTCTTGCTTTTTAGTACTAGGCAGCCAGTTAGCTGAGGCTCTGACACCCAGTTAATCGCTGAGGCCTCATTAGGTACTGAGAGAACAGTAGAATTGTATATGGAGCAGTGGCTGCAATCTGCAGAACTTCACACTGGAGGGAGAAGCTGCTGCATGAATACCATCCATGGTGTTACACTCCTGATGTGCTAGTGCCACGGTAACACCGGTTTTGGTGCTGTGCTTCTGCCTGCACGGCTGGGATATGCTGGTCCATAACCCCCAGAGTTACAGGTGTCGAGGGGATCTTAGGTAGGATTTTTGCTCACTAGTACTGCGAGTCCCTCAGTGCTTTATGGTGCTGTTACTAGATGAGATTGCACACAAAGAGTGAAGGCTGCTATGACACCAACCTTCCAGTTACCAAGTGCAAAGAGTGTAACAACACTTACTTTACAACCCGGAGTTTGTGCAGCACTGTAGCTGGCCAGGCTCCCATCTGACACGGTGAATTCACATCTGCTGCTCTCACAGTGCCATCAGCTGTCCCAGAAAGTAGAGCTGGGTCGAGCAACCTCTCCTGCAAATCGCACTTGAGGCACACTGGGAGAAGGAGATTGGTTTAGGTTGCTGTAAATGGCACATGCTCCAAGCACTTACAAACACTGTCAATGTTTTCTAGGAATATCAACTACTAAGGGAAGAACAATGCCAAAGCCCGTGGCACGCAGCAACAGTCAATCCCCATTGCACACACAAGGGAAAAACTGGGCAGAAAGTTCCAGTTTTGGTGATGGGTGACCAGCCATAGGGGAAGCAGGAGCTTTCCCCAATGCACATGGGTTCAGGGACACACATTTCCTGTCAGCTTTTCTACCTGTGTTTGTAGAGAAGCCCAGCACACTGATGACACTAACTCTGCTATAGTAGGATATGTGGCTACATACAATTTTTCCAGCCTTCTGCAGACTTCTTTAGTGTGGGAAGACAAGAAAACCTCACTGCAGTGTACCTTGGTTTGTCTTGCTAGCTGTGCATCAAGTATGAAACTCAGTGTTACCATGAAGGAAAAAATCTACCTGCAACAAAATACCTTAACTGCCTGTGCCATTACAGCAGCAGCAGCCTGGCAGTATTCTAAGCAAAGGGCCCCTCAGCCTGAGAGAACAGAACTCCAGCAGCTTTCAGAGGCACCCAGAGACCTTACTTGGGTTTCTAAACATGAGGGAACATGCCCAGAGCACAGGCCTGGGCAATCTTTAAGGCTGTGGGATTCAGAAGCTCCCTGCAGAGGTAGAGAGAAAATGAAATACTCAGGGTGGTCTTGGGTGCAGTGGCATGGCTGAAGCCTCCGGATGGGAGAAGGAGATGGAGGTGTTCCCTCTCTGTGCTGTAGTCATGTAGCCATGATTTAAACAGCATCTCCAAGCTGATGACATTGTCCTCTATGGTTTGCACGTCGATGTCCATTCCCAGGATTGCAATGTCTGCAGAAAAAAAAGGTGAAAAAAGCACAAATATTTTCAGCCATAGAAAAGAACATTCTCTTGCACCTCCCACAGAACTGCAGCTCCTTGGTCACAGAATCACACACTCATAGAATAGTTTGGGTTGGAAAGGACCTTAAGATCATCCAGTTCCAACCCCCCTGCCACGGGCACGGACACCTTACACTAAACCATGGCACCCAGGGCTTTGTCCAACCTGGCCTTGAACACCACCAGGGATGGAGCATTCAGAACCTCCCTGGGCAACCCATTCCAGTGCCTCAGCACCCTTACAGTAAAGAATGTCTTCCTTATACCCAATCTAAACTTCCCCTGTTTCAGTTTGAACACGTTACCCCTTGTCCTGTCACTACAGGTCCCCCAAGTGCTTTCACATAAGTGCTTCAGAAGCCACTACCATGCCCATCACAGCACAGCACTATGAAGCCAGCCCTCTTAAAGGGACACTGCTAGAAGCTGAGCTGTCCCACAGGCCTCACCAACACCCTTCCCATCAACAGGGTGGGTGGACGGGCTATAGCATCTTCAGAGTTGTGACTGGTGCAAACCTCTGCTGCGGTCATCTCAGCCCTGCCCTCTGAGACTCTTCTCACAGTTTAAAACGATTTCCTCCTTTTCCCTAAGCAAGGGACCCTGGACACATGACACTATGAGAAATCAGGGATACTGCAAAACTGAAATGCTATACATGGGGAATTGTGTGTCGTGCTGGGAAAGTCCTACACCCCAAATAGGACGTGAACGTTACTTTGCTGCATGGCCCAGGTCTACATTGCTAAACATCATCAGCATGTGTTTAAAGGAGCAGCTGGTCACAGAGTGGAGAAGAACAGGAGTGAAGCTTGACCCGCATCTGTCCAACGCAGAGGACATGTTCCAACCTGTTACTGTTGAAGTGCTGTTTGGTGCACAGCAACCTCCCAGCAGAACACTCTTGCAGATGAACATCAAACCTATCACCACCATTACATTACATAGAGAGAAATGCATCAAATTTAGAGACTTGTTACGAAGAATACAAGGAGAAGGTCAAACTGTTTGCAAGGAAATAGCAAGTACTGAAGTGACCATGTCAGAGGTGCAGAGAAAATGTAATGATCTAGCAGCATTTAGGAATAAGGACATGTAGTCTGGGCAGCAGTTCGGGAAGTCATAAGCAAGATTAAACCCTTGCAAAACCAACCTCCCCCCCCCCGAATAACTCCAAGGTGCATGCAGATGAGGATGGCAGGGAAACAGATTCTACAAAATGCATAAGACATACTATTGTCATCTGTAAGTGCAGCAGGAGCAGAGCCTCCAGCATGAGCAGGGGCACCACACAGCCAGGAGATGAAACATGCATTCTGAGAAGATGAATATAGAGCAGAAATTGCCTTTTTTCACCAGTGTGCTTCCTAGGGGACCACAACACAGCGACAGCCATCAACAAGGAGAAATCTGTTCTTTGGGCATTAGTATAGTTTACAAAAATGACTCTGCATCTGCTCCCACAAAACCCAAAGCACAGAAATTCACTCCTCTCTCTGAATACGGCAGCTCAGCCAGGGCTAAGCTAACAGCGGTCCCACTGTCATGAGCACAGCAGGACATTCCTCAATGTCCTGCTCAATGTCCAGCTGGAGACCAGTAATGAGTGGTGTCCCTCAGGGATCGGTGTTGGGACTGGTCTTGTTCAGCATCTTTGTCAGTGACATGGAGAGTGGGATTGAGTGCACCCTCAGCAAGTGAGACCTCACTTGGAGTACTGCGTGCCGTTCTGGTGTCCTCAACATAAAAAGGACATGGATCTGTTGGAACAAGTCCAGAGGAGGCCACAAGGATGATCAGGGACTGGAGCACCTCCTGTATGAATACAGGCTGAGAAAGTTGGGGCTGTTCAGCCTGGAGAAGAGAAAGCTGCGTGGAGACCTCAGAGCAGCCTTCCAGTATCTGGAGGGGGCCTATAGGGATGCTGGGGATGGACTCTTCATTAGGGACTGCAGTGACAGGACAAGGGGTAATGGGTTAAAACTGAAACAGGGGAAGTTTAGATTGGATATAAGGAAGAAGTTCTTTACTGTAAGGGTGGCGAGGCACTGGAATGGGTTGCCCAGGGAGGTTGTGAATGCTCCATCCCTGGCAGTGTTCAAGGCCAGGTTGGACGAGGCCTTGGGTGCCATGGTTTAGTGTGAGGTGTCCCTGCCCATGGCAGGGGCGTTGGAACTGGATGATCTTAAGGTTCTTTCCAATTCTAACTACTCTATGATTCTATGATTCCAACTGCTCCACCTTCCAGCATCAAGGCAGTGAGATCACGCAGGCTGTGCCTCTCAGGAAAGCAGGATCAACCACTGCTGCTGACAGGAGGTTGTCCTGCTGTACCTGCTACTGAGCTCCTGTCCTCAGTGTCTGCCCTGACTCTCCTGCAGCCAAGGACATTTCATTCTTGTTTCTTTGTTTCTTTTCTATTCTATCCTGTTCTTCCCAAATCTAAATACTAAAGCGAGTACTCATTTAGTTCTGTTGCAGCTTTTAAAAATGTACCTTAACACTGCTACCATCCTTATCCAGCCTTCCCTGGTGCTTATGGGCATTGGAGTTTCTCCCCCATGGAGCAATGCTGGAGGATTCTCTGGCAGAAGGGAATGTCCTGCTTCTCCCAGGAGCTGTGATCACTGTCAGCTACTTGGCCTGACTGATGCTGTGAGTCTTGCTCTCATATCCCTGTGGAATGCCCCACTGTACCTGGAGCACATGCTGGTTGTGTTCCCACTGTGACACACTCCCTACCCTTTATTAGACTTGGGTTTCTTCCTGGGATAAGCACTGAAGATAACATTAACCATTCAGAAGACAAAGCAGCAGGAAATCCATGTAATTTACTTTGACAGATAGTGTGTACACAGGTGACAAGGAGAATTATTTGTGTTTTGAGAGACAGCCTTTTGGGGCTGGTAAATGCTTTAGTCCTTTCCTCAGTAAATATTTTCCTATTTTGTTATTTTCTCTTCTGTAATAGGTATGTAGCCTAATACACACCTTAAGTTTGCACAATACATGGCAATAGTAAAACCAAATTAAAATCATTCATTGCTGTCCATTCTTAGAGAGAACAGGTTGGGATGCCAACATCTACTGTGCAATGGGTCTTAAAATTGCTGGAGAGCAGAGATGCAGAGCCATTTATTGGTCAGGAGTCTGCAGTGTGCATATAGGAAAAAGGTTTCCTGTAACTTGCGGAATATGGACTACATTCACTAAAAATGTATTAGTGCTTTAGCTTTAGTGCTTGCTTTTTGCTTTCCAAACCAGAAATAGAGCCAGTATCTATGTCACACACAAATATTAACCTGCACTAGCAAACAATCTGGCAATGCTCAGATGCTTTAAGTGTTTGTAATGGGGTAGGGGCAGGAAAGAGATAATAATAATAGTTCTCATGTTATCAGTTAGAGGCCCCTGCATCTTATCACTTCCTCCCACACACAATTCCCACCACAAGTGCTGTAAGCTTTGCAGTCTCTATGGGGGGATGTGTATTATAACATGATCTCTGCTCCAGACTGCAGTCTGGCAAGCCCTTACGTTTCTTCATTAAGGAAACATTGCACACTGAGTATCATCTGTCCCACAGAGAAGCTGCTCTGCAGTTTTGAGGAAGCAATCCTTGTTGCTCGTCACACGGCCCTTGTTTGCCTAGAAATGACCTCTCCTTGAGGACGTTGCTCCTGTGAGGAAAGCAGTAAGCAGTTTTCATCCACAACAGACTGTTCTTAGCACATTCAGAGCTACCCTAAGACTTGCCAACTCTGAGGCTTCAAAATATTGGAGTCTTTTCTAGCTGCATTAACCTGGAAACAAGCCTATGAGAGGGATGTCCTGGTCCTGCTTTCTTTCCTTCTTTCTTGTAACTGTGTGGTTTGATTTTCTTCCCCTGCTGTGGTAAATGAGAGAGGAAATTCTCTGGGTGAGCTGAAAAACCAGGTGCTTGCTCAGAATGTATGTATTGCATCTCCACGTCTTCTTGGCTTTGGAAAAAGCAATCTGTAGTCTAGTGCTATGTAAAGTAAACTAAAGTAAGACAGATAACATTCATTAATGGTCTGGTAGGACCCCTTGCAGCGGATTATGATCTCACTGCAGTAGCTGCAGTATAAACAAGGCAATGAGATGATCTGAGCCTTGAAGGTCTTGCAGTCCAACCGAAGATCCAAAAGAAAGCAGAATGGTAATACCATGTGCTCCATAGGAGTCTAAAGAAGAAAATACAAGCTTCTCACTGGACTGTCCATAAGAACATCTTGAAATCCTGGAATATGAGTCCATTTTATTTGGCAAGTGACATGTCTCACTGAAAGCCTGAGGGAAGTGCCACAGTTGCTGTCTCTGAATGGCTGAACCTCCAGCTGGTGTCTGTGCCTTCCCCAGTGCCTGTCTTGAATACAATATTCTGCAGCATATTCAACACCACTTGTGTAGACGCAAACTGCCAGCCTCGACCTGGTATTTAACAAGCCCAGTTTAACAAGGCTGTTCCTGTGCAGCTGGCATTTGCCAAGGGCAACTGCTTCATAGAAACAGGGCACAACTGCACAAATGTGCCCCAAAGCTGTTTCTTCCTCACGTTCATTAATCAGAATTTGTCTTATGTCCTTACATTTCAGTTCCAAAATTCCTCAGAGGGTTGGGGCAGGAGGAGGCAGAAAAGCCAAGTATCTCATTCCAACAGCTATATCTCTATATAGGTTTGTTACTCACATAAATGCTCTGCAGATCTGCAGGATTTCTTTAAAGACAAAAAGGATGACAGACCCTATACAGCAGATCTGAGTTAAGTGAAACAGGCTCATCTTTTCTTTTCCAAGGGTAGTGTGAACCCAGACCAGTTTCCTGGTATTGAAGAGTTTTGATGGAGGGATGGAATGGAGGGGAGGGATTTAGCACTGTTTTTTTACAGTGACAACAACTTAATACAGTTGCACAAAATTACACTTTTAGTTGTTCCTGGAAGTTTTGGCAACTTCTTTCATTCCAGCATGCCCTGAATGCCATGTCCTAACAGTAACCAATTCTCAGCATTCCAAACATCACTTGATCTAAAATAGAAAACCATAATCAAACTTGTATTTATTCCAGTGATCTTCTAAACACAGAAGATCACAGAAGATCTAAACATAAACACAGTTTTCTGGCTCCTTTATTCTTGATTTAACTGTTTTCCTGTGGTATGCTTTTGTATATAGGTATAACTAGTCTTGTTATCGAAGACTTAACCACTGTGTTATAAGCGTCAGAGAGCTTGGGACTGGTTTCCCCTATCACACTGTGATAGTCATTCTCAAGCAGTACAACATCTCTTGCTAGATTTGCTGAAACAGTTTGGGAGCTGTTGCAAGTTTCTTCAGGGGAGCAGCTTGTCCTCTAAACGTTCCCGTTCATGTTGTAAGCTGTTCTGCCTCTTGCATTTTGAAAGCAAGTCTTTGTGCTGCTTTTCAAATTGTCATTTAAGAGAAGCATGCTGTGCTGGTAAAACATAATAAGGGCAATTCAACCACTCTATGTTGCAGCATCAGCCACTCTTGGAAATCCTGTATCCTGCATGGATTTGCCAGTAAGTTTATTCTTTTTTCCTGCCTTTTCCTAATCGATTTAGTCTGTGCCATTTTGAAGGTCACTAAATGATTACAGCTTGGTTTAAACACACATATGATGCTCACTGCTTCCTAATTCACACTGTAAGCAAGTGTGCTAACTGTGCTTAAAATTTCCCTTTTGTGTCACCTTAAATAGTGTAGCCACACATAATGAGAGAAATGATCAGCTTGGCTTTGAGGTTTGGAGGGGATGAAACTCAGCGCTACCACTGCATGCAGCAGACTGACTGACTGCACTAACATTATGCCTGAGTAGTTGCCTGGTATTTCCAGCCAGGGATTCTGCCAGCAACAAAACTTGGGTGAATAAAAAATGAATTCTAGTAATAATCAAGAGCTGCAGCCCCTTGTTGTCACTCAGTGCACATCCCTGCTGCCTCCACGCTTGGCGGTTGTGCTAAAGGGTAGCTGTTGCTGGCCTGTAACAGACTTCTTCACCTCATTTCTTTACCTTAAACCTCCATGTCTTTATTCTCCAGACACCATGGGCTTGGCTCATAAATCTAACAAAACTGCACTCCCATGTTATGAAGGGAACAGAATGAGGCTGTATTCTTGAAGTCTGACAGTATTTTAAAAACAAAACAAAAAATCCTTTTCTTCAGTTGTGTCATGGCTGAGAGAGTTGCCTCCCAGGGGAAAATATGCCATGCAGTCTGTTAAGAAAGAAAGACTCATGCATCCAAGTTAACTGGGAAGGAAAGGAGAAACACCAAACAGACCATTCTGGTCTACTGTACCACGGTCCAGGCTGGTCGTTACAGACAGTGAATATATTTATGAAAGATGGGTAAAGCTTGGAAAACAGCATGGTCCCGTTCTCCTTACTGAAACCAGGAGTCATGGGTATTAGGTCAGGAGAGAAAGAAAACCTTGATTTAAAGTCTGTTTTAACAGAAGATTCTGGAGAATGTTTGGCTTAGGGAAGAACATGCAAGGATACTGCAGTGAATGCCCAAAGTCAGACATGGAGGCACTTGGCCCCTTCACACCCAAGAAAGGGGAGAGATACCTCCTACCAACCCTCCTGCCTGACAGGATGCTGTTTACAAAGTAATACCCAGAACGGTTGTGTGCGGCCACCCAGCCAATTCTCTATCCACCGCAGGGTTCTGTGCAACACTGGCTCTATGCCAGTCCTGACAATCCTCCTCACTGGGGAAGCCAGCATTTGCAGCCACTCAGAATACTGCCCTCTCCTTCATGAACATGCTCAGAGCTCTTAAAGAGCATCTCAGCCTTGGAGCTGGAGGCACCGGTTCTATCCACAAATTTGTAACTTGTGGTTTTGGCTTATTAAATGAATTTTAAGGCACATCAAAGTAACAGAACCTTGATCCTCTGCTGCAGGACTCACTGAGCCCAGTGTTAGCGCAACAGTGCTGGACAGGAAGAGAAAGTGCCTCCTTTCCTCAGCCAGGCACTTCTGCTTGCAGAGATGAGCACTCTCCAAGGCTTCTGCTTTCAAACAGGCAGAGTCCACAATAACCAGCCATGTCTCACTGAGGGAGCTGCCCCTTCAGGGCAGGAAGCTTTTAGCAGGCAGTAAGAGGGTTGATAAACCTTTGTGTGGTCACTTACACAGTTCAGTGTCTGAGTTGCAGTTACAGCAGCACTGCAATTTACAGCCTTCTACCACTGAGCTCCTGTGGCACTGGACTTTTGATCACAGCCTGGCTGGTTTACTTACAGTCTGCTCAGCACCTTTTGCTTTGGAACAAAAAGGCTCAACCCAGGAGCTAATGGCTATTTCTGTTTCTGAATTTCTCATCCCTGTAGCTCACATTCTCGCTCTTGAGAACTGTCAGATTAAGGTAGGAGTTTTTCAGAGATGTGGCCAGGAGAAACAACATTCAGGGTCTGGGCTGTACTTGCTCTTTCACTAATGAAGCACATGGCCAGATGTGAGGGACAGGGCAAAAGGGAACCTGCAATTCCTGAACACCCAGCCCCTGCTCTGCCAGCTGACCACAAATTTGCTACTACAACCAGAAAAGAACAGCTGGAGACAGGTAAGCCAGCAACAACCAACACTGACTGTCACTCAGTAAAAGCTACATTGTCACTGCTAGAAACAGACCTTACACTCACTTTGCAAGGCATTGGGACTCAGCTATTTAAGGTTGTCATCAACTCGTTTTGAGGACTTGCTGTGTGAATCAGAGCTTGGTGCCAGCTGTGTCTTGTGAATGGGGAGTTTAAATGTCAGCAGTAAAGGCCTCTTAAATGGAGACCTGGATGGAAAAGCATCAGTTGCAGGGCTACAAAGAACTTATCATTGTGCAACTACTGGTTTCTAAAGAAGTAAAGCCTCAAGAGCTCAAGAAAAACTGTTCTAAGAACAGAGAAAAGACATAGCAGCAGCTAAGAACAGTGTTAGTAACAAAGCCCAGCTAATTGACAGGGTATCTGCTTGGTCTGGGAATGTAACTATTGTGCAGTATGTAGTCTGGGGGAAAGGACTACAGGGTAAGAATTGGCTAGGAACCAAACATCTTGTAAAAGGACAAGATCTTGGGTTGGTGAAAGGGGAGGAAAGGGGTGCCCCTGTAGGATCACTGAAGCTGTGAATGTCCTGCCTGCTTCAGGGATTCTGGTTGCCTCTGTCTGCACACGGACCTTTTGATCTGCTGGTCAGTCGCTCAAGGTGATGTTCAGCAGTATGTGTGCTTGAGAGTGTGTTACCCTACAAACTCCAGGCTCTCTTTAGTCCCTCAATAGAGCTGTATTGTACATGAAATCCATTTTGGGCAATACCAAGAGATGCAGCATCAAGTTACTGTATCAAATCTATACTAATTTTGCTCACATGTGAGGAAGCCGCAGAGAAGCACTGTGGTTACATGCTTGTTGCTGTTCCTCCAGTCACAGTAGCTCTGCTTACACCAGTGATACAAAATGGCACAAAGGAAAGTGGGCCAAATGCAAGAACTAGTGGCTGCCCTGCTATCTACAGCTGTAACTTCCCTTAGTATCCTGTCTGTCTGATACTCACCATTGCTATCAGGCTCTTCTCCTGGCATGTGCTGTTCTACATCCTCAGGCTGCAGTAAATCTCTCTTCAAAACCTCAATTACTTGTATGCTTCGCAGGCTCACCAGGTCTACATCTTTTAACTTCTTTTCCAGCTGCTTTGCCATTTCTTGGCTGGACTGGCTTGTCAAAATTGTGATCTGAAACACAAATCAGTGCAAGAGCTGCCTCTGCCCAAATGCTCTCCTGATAGGTGATGATGCCTGGTCTGCTCCAACAGCACAGGTCCCACTGTGAAGAGAAATCTTGTTAAAATATCTATTCAAAAGCAGATTTAAAAGCATTTTTCTTTAGCCTCTATTTAAGCCATCATGTGCCATTTTGTGCCACTACTGGAAGAAGCTGAAACAATTCAGAACTGTCTTATGTTCTGTGCTTTGTGCATAGGGGTATTGAGTCTGTGTATAGGAGACACTTAGTACCTGAGACTTTCTGAGGGACAGTGCCACTTCCCATTACTGCATCAGCTGTAGCTGAGGTAGACGGAATCTGGCTTTCTCACTGAAGGCTGAACAGGAGTTGCTTTTTTTCGTGTATAGCTTGGGGGTTGGGTGAGGGTTACTTAAACACAGTTTATCCTAAAGATGCTTCTTGAGAGCAACAGTAGGTGTGATTGCCACCTTCCAGTTTTGATGTTATACCAAGTAAGTAAATGACTGCAAAGACTTTCTTCATCACTGACAATCAGCATCAGTTTCTAGAAACAGGTCAGGCATGTTTCATAGAATCACAGAATCATAGAATAGTTAGGGTTGGAAAGGACCTAAGGGCAGGGACACCTTGCTCTAAAGCATATCACCCAAGGCCTCATCCAACCTGGCCTTGAACACTGCCAGGGGTGGAGCATTCACAACCTCCTTGGGCAACCTATTCCAGTGCCTCACCACCCTAACAGGGAAGAATTTCCTCCTTATATCCAATCTAAACTTCCCCTGTTTCAGTTTTAACCCATTACCCCTTGTCCTGTCACTACAGTCCCTAATGAAGAGTCCATCCCCAGCATTCCTATAGGCCCCCTTCAGATACTGGAAGGCTGCTCTGGGGTCTCCACGCAGCCTTCTCTTCTCCAGGCTGAACAGCCCCAACTTTCTCAGCCGATCTTTATATGGGAGGTGCTCCAGTCCCTGAAACAGTTGGAAGAAAGTACCTCAAGGCCTTAAGAAAACACAGAGGCTTCCTGGATAGATACTAGAAGTGAGTCGGAATTATAGCTGGGAGAGTCTGCCTAATCAAAGCACAACTCTGGAAGGGTTTAAAGATCTAAATAAAGTAGAAGGACTGGGGAAATTTCACTTCTGGGGGTCTGGATTCCTTTACAGGACTGACAAAACTCCAAAGTCAGGTGGACCCTGAGCCTGTGAAGTCTAAAATGGAAGACAGTTTAGAGCTGATGTTTCCTTATGTCCAGAAGAAAACACCGTTTCTGAGTCCCTCCCTCCCCTCTTGACAACTGTGCCCTTTCACATCAGCTGATACTACTTAAAAAACCCCACTTCTTCCTGTGAACCTTGCTCTGCTTTCTACATCTGCACAAATGTTCTCATGCTTTTAGCAACTTCCCTCCCACTTAGGCAAGTACACGCACCCAGCTGAGAATACAGCCACTAGTGTGGGCCTCTGTACAAACGTCCTGCTGTATCAGTGGAAGGTCCTGATACCGTAACCACAGAATATCACTGTAGGCTGACAGGAAAATCATGTCTGTAAGTACTGCGAATGGCTTTGCCTTTGAAACAGTTCTGTGAAAGTAATCAAAACAAAACTGGGAAAAACAATCCGAAATGCCTGAAATCAGATGCATTTTTCTAACTGCAAAGTAAGTCAGTCTCCATAGGTGACTCCAGCTTGAACCTGTCTGCTTTCCATGAGCATTCTGAGATTGCCCTGTGGGATTTTTTTGGTAGGGCTTATTTTCTTCATGACCCCCTCCCATGGACCTTGACAGCACACAGACAATCATCAGAATGTGCTAGCTAGTGGCAAGCCTGGTGGACGGCTCCTGCTACCTTCCCAATCTTTTCTTACCTCAACAGAACTGTTTGCTGAGCTTCCTGCTGCTGTGTGTCTGCTGTACTGCTTGAACTGTTGCAATCCATCCTGCACAGCTTGTAGCACTCCATTTCCCCCCTGTGGGAAACAGCCTTCTCTTGGTAGCGAACGGAGCTCCGAAATGCAGGCTTGGATTCGTGCAAAGTTTTCTTTCACTTGCTGCAAAAACAATATTCAATGAAACTGAAAGACTGGAAGTGTCAGACTAGCACTATGAAGTCATTTTCCATAATGTGGAAGGAGGCTTTTGAATTCACAGCACTGAGTTAAAACTGGGGGCAGGAACCAAGTCATAAAGCAGCAACATGGACAGGAATTAAAACCATCCTGTTTTTATACTAGTAAAACACACATGATCACTCCTCCAATTCTCAACTGTCTACCCGTTCCCTGCTGCTAGCCAAAATGTAGTGGTTCAGCACGGCCCTCTTCTCTGACCCTGCACAGCAGAGAGGCAGAGCTTAAGACAAGTAAGAGGGAGCACTGAGGCAGAGTGGGATCCCCAGGCCATAGTCACCCCTGCCATATCTACTCCTTTACCCACTGAGCTGTAGACCTCTGGAACCTGTGTTCACCACACTTTGTTCTCTACAGTGCAAGCAGTGACATCCCAGTATGTCAGTTGTGCTGTGAGGTTCAGCAGTCTTTGACAAATGCACCAAGTGAATGTGGCCAGGAGCCTCTTCAGAGCGCTACAGCCGAATTCCCTACAGTACAGATGCTTCTCCTGCAATCCAGGAGGCTGCTGCAGCTCTCACAGATGTAAACCGGAACTCTCAGGTCAAGTATTGCTCCTAACTGTGACAGAACAGGGCACAGTGTGGGCTGCAGGCAACCTCAAGCCCAGTTAAGTACTTGTCATTTGGCACAGAAGAGTTGTATTTTCGCTTGTATATGCACAGGTACTTTACATGTTAACTTAGGTGAGTCTATGCAAGCTGCAGTTTCAGCTCTGGAATGTACCTGAGACATCAGTTAAACTTCTAAGCACAAACTGTGCTGCCTGTTTATGACTGCACCCCTCTTCTGTGTGCTGACACCCAGCCTTGGTGCATAGCCATGATACGGCTCTTCACACGTGACCCTGCTCCTTCAGTACAGAACTCCAAGAATCCATCATTTCACACCATGTGTCTAGTAAAACGTTTTATGCCAGAATACTACACAGCCCCCGGAGAAGAGCTACCAAAAGAGACTGAAGCTGGCCATGAGCTGGCACAGGCACTGTGTTCACTGCCCCGTCTGGCTCCTTCACATGTTGTGCCCTCACCCACTTCACCTCCTCCATTTGCTAGTCCCTGTAACTAGTGTCCTTCTCCCTTATTTCCTTTTTAGCCTTTTTTGTCAGAGAGGGTCTGGGAGTTGTGGGTGGGGGCTGCCCATCCCAAGGGAAAAACAGTAGGAACAGGACCCATCAGCTGGAGGTGCTCCGAGTCCTTATTCAGTCCCATACTTAAATTTTGGTGCTTTAGTGGTCTCTTCCCCTCTTGTCACCATCAGTTGTCTTCCACAGTTATTTACTTTCTTCCTGCTTTCCTTTTCTTTGGCATTCCCCTGCTCTTTCCAGCGAAGCTCTTTGGACTTGTCAGGCCAGCAGGGGAGACCAGCAGGAACAGGGACCACAAACAAGTGCCCAGGAAAAACTAAGGAAAGGATTACCTTTCATCTGACACTTCCCTGTGTATTCTCAGTCTCTATTTTCAGCTTTGGGTCCCTCCTGACTTAGTATGATTTGTCTAATAAGAAACCTTTAAGATAGATCTATCTTGGCTTCTCACTGAGAAGTATCAAGTTTTCCTCTAGCTAGATGAGAACACCAGTGTGGTGAACAGCATGCCCTGCTGAGACAAAGGGGCAATTCAGGACTGCAGGAAAAGCAACAGAGCCCTCGGGACAGATCTTTATCAGACAGATGTAAAACTGCTCCTGATTCCAGAAGCTGCAGAGGACCAGATTATCATTATTAATGAAATTAGGCCCACTTAAGAAGATACTCATCTTGCTATACTTTACTGCTCCTAATGGAGAAAGAACAGTTCTGAAAAAGCCTTCAGCAGGTGCCTGAAACAGAGCTGGCTCACCAGGCAGAGCAGCCAAGCAGAGCTGGGGAGAAAGGAGAAGGGCCTCACACTAGAGCTTCTGCCATCAGCCCAGTGTCTCAAGTCTTTGAGTGGGGACTTTGTTTCTTGGACAAGTCCCAGAGAAACACAATATTATGGCAAAAAAGAGGCCATTACCAGTCATGCAAAAAGGAGGAGGGGATATTTTTTAGGTCTCTATACAGCGTTGCTGAGTGCAGTATCAGAACATAGCATCCAAAAAAACAAGAGGAGTGTTGGAAATTATTAAGGGCCCATGGTAATGCCTATCAACTAGACTCAGACTTTGTCCTCTTTCATCTACCAGCTAGAAGACCTGCTAAAAACCTGCTCCTATTTAGAGGAAGGAAGGGAGGAGAAAATACAAGCAGGTTCTTCAGCCTAGCCAAAACAGAAAATACTTTAACAAATCCCTGGAAGCTGAAGTCAACAAATGCATATTAGGAACTAGGTGCAAGTTTCACAATGTGAGTGATAAACCACTGGAAGAAATTCTCTCTTGATAACTGCTTGGTTCTCCATCTTGTAATATCTTCAGATCAACACTAGATGTCTTTCTGGAGGAAGTGCTCCATTGTTATATGGGTACTTCGGTGAAATACGTAATATGCAGGAAGCCAAACAATGATCTAAGGGTTCTTCTGTCTGCACAAAATGTGATTATCATACAAGGAACTGTTGCTTAAATAGAAAATCAAGGAAGCAAGACAAGTGTCTATTCTTAAAGCCCCTATCAGAGTGATTTCACACTATCTCCAGAAAATGTTACGTTGGTATCCCCTGAACTTTTCCTTATCACAGTATCACAGTATCACAGTATCACAGTAGGTTAGAGATTGGAAGGGACCTCAAAAGATCATCTAGTCCAATCCCCCTGCCGGAGCAGGAACACCTAGATAAGGTTACACAGGAACGTGTCCAGGCGGGTCTTGAATGTCTCCAAAGAAGGAGATTCCACAACCTCCCTGGGCAGCCTGTTCCAGTGTTCTGTCACCCTCACTGAGAAGAAGTTTCTTCTCAGGTTTAAGTGGAACCTCTTGTGCTCCAATTTGTACCCATTACCCCTTGTCCTTTCATTGTTTGCCACTGAGAAGAGCCTGGCTCCATCCTTAGGACACTCCCCCTTTATATATTTATATACACTAATAAGGTCACCCCTCAATCTCCTCTTCTCCAAACTATAGAGACCCAGCTCCCTCAGTCTTTCCTCATACGGGAGATGCTCCACTCCCTTGATCATCTTAGTTGCCCTAAGCTTGCCATCCAAGCTCCGGTACGGCCCCAGGCTCCTCATGGGGAGGTTGGGGCTCCTCTGCCCCCCGCTCGTACCGGCAGCCCCATGCGAGCCCCTGCCCTGCTCCTGCGCATCACATTATAACCTATTCTACAAACCAAACATCACCATTAACCACAGTCTCTTGCAGATCACATTTGCTAAATTACTACTGACCTGTTTTTAGTTCCTAGTTGGCCTCTACCTTTCCTGAGATGTGAAAACTGTCTGACAGAGTTTTTCAAAATGTTCTCACAAGTGGAAGGGTTAATCCTGTGTCTTTACACCAGTGTGCTGTAAATGAGAGTGCTCACCATGGCTGTTTATAGTAGTGTGAATTCAGAGACTCTTGTGAACTTCATGATGCTTTGTAATCCCAAACTTTCATTGTAGAGCTGCTAGTCACTCTCCACCTGTATTTATATAGCTGCACGTCCCAGATGAGTGAAATGTTTGTTCTTACTGCCTTAGATCTGTGTATTTAACAGTCATGTACACGTGGCACTTGGGGACATGGTTTAATGGTGGACTTGCCGGCATTAGGTTTACAGTTGGACTTGATGAACTTCAGGGTCTTTTCCAGCCTCAATGATCTATTATTCTGCAAGTCTGTGATTTCAGGATAATTCTCAATTTTGGCAAAAATATTTTGAATTCTGATCCTTTCCCCTTAAACGAGTGGAACTTCTCCCAGAGTGGTAATTTTTGTGTAACCAACAGGTCTATTGACCATTTCACCACCTGAATTATTACAGCTTTAGAGCTGTGTTTGATAATTTTGGTAGAGAAGCAGTTTAGATAGTGTGGAAAACAGCATAGGAAAGGGAGAGGTACAACAGATGCCTTAGAGAGGGGACAGCGCAAAACCTAACTTAAGCACACGATCAACTTCACAGATCAAAGATATAACACTTCTTTTAAACATAATTCTTCATAAAAATTCACGTCTTCCATGAAGTCTACGAAACTGCTCTCTGAGAATGACTGATTTTTAGATATACATTTGGAGTACATCATAACTTTCTTGACTGAACTGCAACAATCTGTTGCATTCATGTTTGTCAAATCCCAACAAGCATAATTTCACACCTACCGTAAAGGGGAGCAGACACTCCTGCTGGCTCTGCACAACGTAGAGGCTCAGCAGAGGCACACGGCAGGGGCCGGTCAAGCTGTGTGCCAAACACAGTGTGTTTTCCAGAGCTTCAGACAGCACAGAACAAGTGTTGGTCCAGGACGGTGATGTGACATCCACAATGAGAATCCGTGATGGCAGCTGGCAGTGTACTTTAGCAGCAGGAAATGTTCTCCGTGTTTCTGAGAGTAATTTTCTGGAACTCATGGCTTCTGAAGATGTGCATTAGATGTCTGGTTATCCATCTGCATCTGAACAGGAGAAAAATAACAAATAATAGCAGTGAACAGGGCTCGCATTTTCCCATTCACTTAAAAGCAACCTGAGACACAGACAGTAAAGAATTAAGGCTCTTACAGCTTTCTCCAAAAGCAATCATTGCCCATGCTCTAAGATAAACTCACACAAAGACAAGGGGAAATGCATCCATTCAGAAAACAAAATGCATGGCAGATATTCTCTTACAGATGCAACTGGAGCAGCTGAAAGTGCTAACAGCTTAGCCATAGCCCAGGGATGAGCTGTGACACTTCACATGCACAGCGAATGTGGCTCAGGTGCCTGGCCATCACTCTCCAGCAGAGGAGTGACCTCCTGCAGCAGGTGGACAGCAAGACTTTGAACTCCTGCTTCTTCAGTGGCTAGGAGATTATACCCAAACACCCCGAGGAGAACACAGTCCAGAAGACCAGCATGAGACAAGTAGCTGTCATAGCCAGAAAAGGCCAGCATGATGCAGCAAGAAAATACTGCACACACAGAGATTTTACTTGGAGGACGGTGGAGAACTGACCTTTGTCCTTCAAAGGTTCTAACACCTGGGGTTGGCTCTGCTCTGCCAAAAGCCTCCATGAATGCAGCACTACAGCTGCCAGCAGTATCTCACACTGTTCAAGAACATGGGAGTGCTGCAAGCCTGAAAAAATCTGTATGTCAGAAACTAACAGAAAGTATTTTCAGCCAAACACCAGCTTTGATTCCCAGAGCTGGCTGGAGAAGCTGGGAATGCTATGCACAGAGGTGGCTTGTGCTTCATGTGTCACAGTGCTGTGCCAGGCAATGCAAAGATTCACTGGAACAGCTCCGTGGTGCTGTCAGAGTTCAGGCGACAGCTTGCTCAGGGAAGGAAAGGGAAGATTAGGGGATTAGGGCTCTGCAGTTCCTGGTCCTGTGTGTGTGGGAAGAGAGGTGGTTCCTGCTGCAGTGCCCTGTGAGACCCTGAGCCCCTTCAGCACACGAGCAGAGTGCACGATTTTCCTTTCCAGCAACCAGCCCTTCACCCAGCATCACCAGCGCGTCCCTCTGTGTGCACAAGGCTCAGCTGGTGGTGCGCTGAGAGGATTCCCCCCAGTCTTTAGGAAAATCTGGCTGTTTCTGGGAAAGGGTAAGCAGAGAAGCCAGGGGCAAACAGGAATGTGCTGCTGGGCCTTGTGTACCTCCTGCACTCACCTGTACGGAACACAGGAAACCACTCAGCCTGAGCCCAGAGCCAACCCCTTGTAGCTAGGCGCAAAGGTTTAGAGGCAAAGTATTCATGTGCACTCATCCTCAGCCCTTGATTATGATGTTTGTTCCCTGCCCTCTTTCCCTTCAATGCACACATCCTAAGCACAGGAGCCAGTATTTTACTGGTTTGGGTGCCCCTGCCTAAAATTTTCTTCACTAAATGCAACCACCCCTGCACAAAGCATTCAGGGCTGTTCCTAAGGATATAGAAAACACTTTAAAAATGTGTCCTGGTCTTGATAATAACAGTAGTGTGCAACCATACAAGTCTACCTGTGCCCAGAAAGTGCTTGTATAACTGTGCATACCTTCTCAACATGAACTAGAATGAAGTCTTTCTTTCAATAGCTGTGTAAATCCCCAGCAGGCTTGGTAAAAGTCTGAAGTGCCCCTGGGTTTACATAGTTGGGCTCTGCTCAGAACCCAGGCCAGTATGCATTCCTGGAACTCGTCTGGTATGTTCAGTTGCGACAAAGAACTTCTTTATGCTCACCAAGGAGACAAGTCACTGTATTTCCTCCTGCCTCCAGCACTTCAGAGTACAAATTTATGAGAGTCTTGAAAAGAGCAAGAAATGCATTTCTATTTGCCTGAAGTATCACCAGAAAAAAGATTTGAATGTTTTTTAGTGAAGGCAAAACAGGCTCATCAGAGATTGACCTTCAAAACTTGAGGCTACCGTTTCACTGGTGAAATGTTGTAACATTTGTTATGTTATAACTGGTGAAAATGTATCGGATGGACGGATCGACAGATGGCTAGACATAGATAAGACAGAGAGAGAGATAGATAGATCACACAGATATGCGAAAGTATCTTGCTTTGACTAGTAACCCAATATAATGTCATTGGAAAATGAAAACCTGCCAACTGCCACTTTAATCAGTGTCTCTTCTGGAGCTTTACAGTTTAGAAGAGAGTTTACTAAATTACTCCACTGAACCTGGGGAAATAGTTCTCTATGGGTTTTGTGAGGAGACTGCTTACCACCGAGCTCTGCAAGCCCCCAGGGCTTTCTTGAGCAAGGAAACAAAACCCATCCAGCAGGCAGAAATCTAGAAAATTTGGGTCTTGGATGTGCATGAGTTTCAGAGAGGAAAATGAGCCTCGATTCTGGAAAAGACACAGTTTTCCCACATTTGAATGAATTCTCTCATTCTTGATGCTGTACAGCACTATGCTTATTTTAAACTGCCTTTAGTAAAGTGGATCCCTCACCAGCTGTGACTCTCTAGTGACTGAATTTCATTTCTTTGTAATTGTGATATCTCAATGAATCTTTGCTTAGCAATATTGCTAGGAGTTATATGCAGTTCTCTGTCCCAACCCTGCTGTACAGGATAAACTTCCCACCTCTCTCGCAGCCTACACCAGTTACTCTTTGCTGTGATGAGGCTGGGTAACTGGAAAATTCTATGTAACAGTCTAAATGGTTGCTATGACAAACTCACATCTTCATTTAAACCGCAGGTAACTGACAGAGAGCCTGGCCTAAGGGATTACACCATAATTCAGTGTGCATGAGTGAAAACTGTCAGTCCTAGCAGCTGATAAGACATTAGCTTATTGCTCAATAAAAGAAGAATGTATCAGCTGCCAGAGCCAGTTGCCAGCACTGGTGTACATTTTGCTCAATGCAAGAAGACATTCTGCAGAACTAAAAAGACAGGGATGGAAGGAAAGTTTTGCCACACTGAGTGACCTGTGAGTGCTGATGACATTCTGCAGTTAGATATTATCCTATGTGCTTAACTTGTTCCTATTATACAAAACCAGTAAAGACTATCCAAGTCTAAAAACGTGTAAATGAGAAGCAACACCAGTTACGGGTTAAAGAATACTAAGGATAGTCTCCGTCTTCTTTCTAATACAAGAACCAGCAAAATTTGGACCCAACCTCACTCTCAGAAGTAAGACAAATAACATTACTCACAAAAAGTGAGTAATAAGAATTCCTTACTGGGTAGCTAAACCAAACAGAAGTGGGGAGTAGAGCCAGGAAAACCTTGAGATGTGATAAAAACAAATACAAGCTATTGGCAAGGGAATGAACCCAAATGGTGAACAAAAGGCACAAACAGCGACAGTCAACAGGTTTAAGAACAATAAAAACTTTATAATAAAACCCTGTAAATTATGAAAAAATAAAAGCTATTCCTTAAACACATCAAGAACAGAAAACAATCTTGAAATAGTATAAACCTGCTATTAGCTTCTAAGGGTACAATTTTCTTGAATGATGCAGAGTCAGTGTTCAATAAGTATTCTGATCTGCATTTAGAAAAAAGTGCAGTTAGCTGCAGGAGCAGCAGAGGCAGGAGAAGGTGAGAGCTCGTGTTACCTTCAACTGGGGAAGTCCCTGAGCACTGAAGGCAGTGACAGCTCACCCTCTTCCTACACTCCTCCCAAAGCACTTGCTGTGGGCCACAAGTTCATGGAGGAGATGGACCTTGGGTCTTACTTACCCTGTGTCACCCTTTTCATATATTTGTCATTTTGAGTTTCAAACATGCCGTTGTCTGATTCAGCTTGGGAAATGTGAATATTCTCACATGGAAAACGTATCAAGGTGCATAAATAAGTGTGGGTTTACTAGAGAAAAAAAGCAGCAAGCCAAGGAGAAGCCTGAGCTGTGAAGCTGTTGTACAGTGGCCTCTGGTGTACATATTTTTGTCTACCTAGCCTAGAGAGGAAGGTGTTTGTTTAAACAGGTCAGGGTGAACACGGGAATGAAAACAAACAAAAAGTAGCACAAAATCAAGCTAAAGAAAACAAAAATTATTCAAGATTCTATAAAACAGAAGGTACTGTATGTTCTTCTGTACATCAGTGCTATAATCAATAATAAATAAGTGGCCTTAAGTTTGTGCTTTTATTGACAAATCACTGAATCTTAGTAAGAATAGTCACTTTATCATAGTGTTAAAACCACTCATCATACCCTTTGTGTTTTTTTTTTTTCCTAAAATTAGAGGAATTTTAACATTATAGGACTTCAGAAAAAGGCATCTTCTAATTCTGAATCGCTAAAAATGATGCAGCAAATGCCTGCAAATGCTCATCAACCAGCATATTGACAGATAGAGCAAACCAAGGACAAGCTGATGCATAATGCATGTGGCCAAGTGCCCCTACAGAACATGCAGCCAACTCATAAAACCCATCAAGAATGCTCAGAGGAAAGCATTTTGTCATGGGCGACTGCTGACTGATGTGCTGGAGCTCTCAGAATTAAAACTTTTCAGATATTGTAATATCTTTTTTATGAGATTATATGTGTGATTAATGAAGTCTCATAGGACATATGCTCTATCTCGCCTGGCATCTTGATTAAGAAACCGGAACGATATGAAGTCAACATATACATTAGAAGGATAAAACCTGCATAATTCATAAGCCTGAAAACATAACTAGACAGGCAATCCTCACTGAGGAAATCGTGAGATACATGCACAGATCAGAGCAGACCAGTTATTCCCTGTAATAATGCCTTACAGACAGGCCCACTTTTCTTTCTTTCTCTCCTACTCCCTGACACAAGGCACCTTGAATCCTTTTCAATGCAGTGAAACAGATTGGAGCAAGAAGGACTGCTCTTTCCCTTCCATTACACCTTGAAATATCCTTTGACCTGATAGGGCACTTTTCTGAGAAGTAGGGTACCTTATGTGAACTCTTCACCCTGAGAACAGCACTGAATGCACAGCTCACATGTTCTGGATGTCTTTTCTAGCCATTAGTTCAGTGTACAAAGTGATGAGGGGCAATAAGCACATCCGCTTCAGCAGAAAAGTGAAAGCACAGTTTATGTGTTAATGTGTATTAACAGCAATTCTTGTCAATGGAGAACAGAATCCCTAGAATACTAACGTACAGCAGCAGCTTAAAAACACAGTTCTGAGTGTTTAGATCACGTGCTACCAGCCAAAGCCTTTGTATCCTGGATATGCCCTCTGAGCCTCTCAATGTTCAGCCTCACTGCAGCATTCCCAGAGTTTCACAGTTCCTGTACTGTTTTTTAAAAAGCTTTAGAAAGCCTCACTATCTGACGGGCCCTGTGGCTGGATGCCCAGCACAAGGGAACACAGCACGCAGCAGCCTGCAGCACTTGTTCCCTGGCCCACAACTTGACATGGCAAAATCTGCACACTGGAGCTGCACATCCCACCTGGAACACGAGGAAGTGCCAGGGCAGCTGTGGCACTTGTGGCTGTGTCTATAATCAGGCAAGCTGCCCCAGCGCAGGCCGGGGCTGCTCTGCTGCAGTGCAGACACAGCAGCTATCAGGTGGCTGTGGATCCTCTCTGCTCTGCCCGGGGGTGACCCCTGGAGAAGGGAGCACAGTCGGGTTTTCCTATAAATGGCAGGGTGGACGAACTGGGGGAGCCCCTGCCTGCACCAGTCCTCCTCCAGAAGCAGAATCACAGAAGCATTTCAGTTGGAAAAGATCAAGTCCAACCCTTACCCTGACGCTGCCAAGGCCACCACTAAACCACGTCCCCAGACACCTTGTCTACAAACACCGGTTCTCCCCTCCGGAGGTTCTCCCCCCGAGGGGACCCTGCTCACAGAGGCCGTGCCGTGGCTCCACACGGGGCTGACCCGGCCTCGCTGCAGGGGCACTGCCTGCGGCCACGCTGGGCCAGAAGCGGCCGGTCAGGGTCTGTAGCGCAAGGGGCGCCCAGCACGGGCGCGGCGGGCTCGGTTACCTGCAGTCCCCGCAGCTGGGCCCGGCCCGG